AGCATTTGTTATTTTCTGTTTTTTCATAATAACCATTCTGACATGCATGAAGTGGTGCCTCCCTATGGTTTTGATTTGCCTTTCCCGATGATTAGAACATCTTTTCTTGTACTTGTTGGCCACTTGCACGTCTTCGTTGGAAAAATATTCAGATTCTCTGCCCACTTTTTAATAGGATTGTTTGTATTTTTGTCAAGACGCTTTGAACATGCAGTCAGACAGGTGATTTGCAAATGTTTTCTCCTGTTCTGTGCTGGCTCTTCATTTTGTTGATTGCTTCCTTTGTTGTGCACAAGCTTTTTGGTTTGATTTAGTCCCACTTGTTGATTTCTGCTTTTGTCACTTGTTCTTCTGATGTCATATTCAAAAACAATCATTGCTAAAACCAATGTCAAGGAGCTTTTCTCCTGTGTTTTCTTCTGGGAGTGTTAATGGTTTCAGGTCTTACACTTCAGTCCTAAATTCATTTTGAGTTAATGTTTGTGAATGATGTAAGATAGGGGTCAAATTTCTTGTTTTTTTTTTTTTTTTCTTTTTTTGGCATGTGGATATCCAGGTTTTCCAACACTACTTATTAAAGAGGCTGTCCTTTGCCCGTTATGTATTCTTGTATCATTACCATTGTCAAATATTAGTTGACCGTATATGTGTGAGTTTATTTCTGGGCTCTTAACTCCATCCCATTGGTCTGTCTGTTTTTTTGCCACTGCCATACTATTTTGAAATCAGAAAGTGTGATATTTCCAGCTTTGTTCTTTCTCCTGATTGCTTTGGCCATCTGGGATCTTCTGTGTTTTCATATGAATTTTAGAATTTTTTTTAATTTCTGTAAATAAATGCCATTGTAATTTTGATAAAGATTGCATTGAATCTATAGATGGCTTTTGGTAGTATGGACATATTAATGATATTCACTCTTCCAATCCATATATATGGGATATTTTTTTCCATTTTTTGTGTCTTTATTTTCTTTGATCAGAGTCTTACAGTTTTTTAGTACATAGATATTTCACTTCCTTGGTTAAATTTATTCCTTAATATTTCATTGTTTCTGATGCTATTTTAAATGGTATTGTTTTTAAAATTTCTTTTTCAGATAGTTTGTTTTCCTGTATAGAAATGCAGCTGATTTTTGTATGTTGATTTTGTATCTGTAAACATTACTGAATTCACTTATTAGGTTTAGTAATTTTTCGTATTTTCTGTACACAAGATTATACTGTCAGCAGACAGAGGTGTTTTTCTTTCTGATGTGGATGTCTTTTTTTTTTTCTTTTTCTTGCCTGATTGCTCTTCCTTGTTCTTCCATTACTATGTGGAATAAGAGTGGTGAGGGTAGGCACTCTTGCCTTGTTTCTGATTTTGGAAGGAAGGCTTTCAAACTTTCACCATTGAATGTGGTGGGTTTGTCATCAATGGCCTTTATTATGTTGAGGTATGTTCCTCCATGGGCTTCCCAGGTGGCGCTAGTGGTAAAGAGCCCCGCCTGCCAGTGCAGGAGCCATTAAAAAATCCCTGGGGTTCAATCCCTGGGTCAGGAAGATTCCCCTGGAGGAGGGCATGGCAACCCACTCCAGTATTCTTGCCTGGAGAATCCCATGGACAGAGGAGCCTGGCGGGCTACAGTCCATTGGATCACAGAGTCGGGCACGGCTGAAGCAACTTGGCATGCACATACATGTTCCTCCATATCAAGTTTGTTGAGAGTTTTTGTCACAAAGGGATGTTGAATTTTGTCATGTAGGTTTTTTTTTTTACCATGTATTGAAATGATTATGTGATTTTTAACCTTCATGTTGTTAATGTGGTATATCACATTGATTTATTTGCATATGTTGAGCCACTTTTATATCTCAGGGATAAATATCCCTTGATGGTGGTGTATGATCCTTTTAACATACTGTTGAATTTGGTTTGCTAGTATTTTGTTGAGTTTTTTGCATCCAAATTCATGAAGGTATTTGCCTGCCTTTCTTTTTTTTTTCCCCTTATAGCATCCTTGTGTGACTTTGGTATCAGGGTAATGTTGACCTTATAAAAGAGTTTGGGAGTGTTATATCCTCTTTAGTTTATTTTTTTCTTTCTGGCAGGGTTTGAGAATTGTTATTAATTCTTCTTCTTTAAATGTTTGGTAAAATTTAGCCATAAACCCAGACTGTCCTGGGCTTTTCTTTGTTGGAGGTTTTTGATTAGTGATGTAATCTTAAATTTGTTATTGGTCTGTGGAAGGTTGTATGTTTCTAGGTTGTCTGATTTGTGGCTTATAATTGTTCATAGTAGTCTCTTATGACATTTTTTTTTATTTCTGTGGTATCAGTTACAATGTTTCTGCTTTCACTTATAGTTTTTAATTCTCTTTATCTTTGTACGTCTATTTAAAGATCTGTTCTTTTTTGTTTTATCTTTTCAAAAAGACAACCCTCTGTTCCATTGATCTTTTCTACTGTTTTTCTATTTGCTATTTCATTTATTTCTGCTCTGATTTTAATGTTCTTTCTGCTAACTTTGGGCTTAGTTTGTTCTTATTTTTCTAGCTCCTTGATATATCAAGTTAGGTTGGTTACTTGAGATTATTCTTTTTTCTTAATGCAGGCATTGATTACCATAAACTTCCCTTCTAGCTCTGCTTTTGCTGGATCATAAGGTTTGGTATGTTGTGTTTCCATTTTTGTTTGTTTCAAAATATATGTTTTTAATTTCTCTTTTGATTTCATCTTTGATTCATTGGTTGTTCATGAGTGTTTGTTTAATTTCTACATATTTGTGAACTTTCCAGTTTTCCTCTTGCTATTGATGTCTAGTTTTATACCACTGTAGTCAGAAAAGATACTTAGTTTGATTTCAGTTTTTAAAAATTTGTTGAGACTTGTTTTGTGACCTAACAGTCTATCCTGGAGAATGTTTCGTATGTGCTTGAGAAGAATGTATATTCTGGTGCTGTTGGATGGAATGTTCTTTATATGTCTCTTGGGTCCATTTGGCCTCAAGTATAGTTCAAGTCCAATGTTTTCTTATTGATGTTCCGTCTGAATGATCTATCCATTGTTGAAAGTAGAGTGCTAAAATCCCCTACTCTTATTCCATTGATGTCTATCACTCCCTTGAGATCTGTTAGCATTTACTTAATGTACTTAGGTGCTTATATGTCTTTGCCGCTGTCACTCATCTGCCTTTCTGGGTCCACGGTTCAGTGGACGGAAATGAAGGACTGTATGGGCCTGAGAGGTGAGCCTCTAGTTTTTTTTCTTCTATTCAGTTAAGGGAGACAGGAAGGAGAGTGAGTGCAAAATGTGCAGCATTCGAGCAGATGAGAACCAGCTCTTTTACAGAAATATGAGAAGATAATTAAACCTTGATCATAACTAGCAGGGAAGCAAAATGGCCATAAAATACTAACATGTAGTAATTTACTGTCATAATCCTAATTCTTCTGTAAGAGTTTCCTATTTTTAAATTGCAGTGATAATTATGAAATTAAAAAAAAATACTAGTTTAACATGCTTATTTTAAACTAGTTCCTAGCAGTAGTAACCACCTGTGTCTTCACGGGAGTGCTGAGACTTAACAACTTTCCAGGCCAAGTATTATAAAATCACTGATCATGTGTGCTGGGAAGTCTCGGTTACCTAACATTTGATAGTGGTGAAGTATGAACAGATACATCTTGCTGGTGATTTCACATGCCTGAGTCTCCTGGTGGTGGGTACATGGACTTTGTAGTAATGATCAGCCTTGGATGAAAAAAACCCAAAAATCCCATGTAGAACTGGGGAACTTCCAGCATTGCTAGGTAGAGTATTTTTATTTTTATTTATTTATTTTTTTATTAGTTGGAGGCTAATTACTTTACAATATTGTAGTGGGTTTTGTCATACATTGACATGAATCAGCCGGTAGAGTATTTTTAGATTGGGGCTAATGAACGGCTTTTCAACCTGAAGTCTTCAGGGACAGGCAGTCTGCAAGTACCAGATGAAAAGCCAAGTCAGTATTCTTGAATTTATAGATCCAATTTACCAGATTGAAGGACACTTGCTCTTTGTAACTCACTGAACTAGCTGGCCCCTGCATGCCGGGTTTCTATGGCAATACGATCTCAGTGACCTCTCTTCTCTGTTGTGGAATGTAGGTGATAAGAATGGAGGTGAGCCCGATGATGCTGAGCTGGTAAGGCTCAGTAAGAGGCTGGTGGAGAACGCAGTGCTGAAGGCTGTCCAGCAGTATCTGGAAGAAACACAGAACAAAAACAAGCCAGGGGATGGGAACTCTGTGAAAGCTGAAGAGGCTGATAGGAATGGCACCAACAGTGACGACAGGAAGTGAGACCCACATGCAGGCAGGACCCCGCTGCCCCGGGAGAAGCACCCCTGCCCGCCTCTGCCGAGTCAGGGGACTCATTGCATTGTGCTGTCTAAGTGTCTTGTCCAGTCTGTGAAGATTGCCTAATACTTTTCCCGATTGATGTGTTTGCATTTCTGAAGCACAACAGAAGAGAAATGGAGAACTGGGACTCTCAGAGGAAATCAGTTTACGAAGGAAGCGTGGCCCGGGTTTCACTTGCCCCAGCCGTGGCTGAGGGGGAGTGGCTGTGGGTTATGCCGGGTGGGCTCAAGTGAAAGGCCACAGAAGAGGCCTTGGGCGGAGATGGAGTACTGCCACTTCAGTTGCTTAGCAGGGCATTTCACTACCTTATCTGAGGCCAGAACACACACAGAGCTAACAAGTGCTATGATTGAAATGATCACTGTTGAGATGATTATCCATAAGTTGGTCCACAGTGTTTCACGTTTGTCCTATGTGTGTTGTTCCTATTCATTACTTACAGTAAATTTGATTCTTGTAAATGATATATTTTGGTGAAATGCAACCTTTTCTATAAAATGTGGGCAGCATTTTAGAGGTTTCTTTTTAACCTTCTTTTGATAAGTCAGTATGCCATATTTAATGTTTTTTCATTGGCATTTGTACGTGAAATGTATCATATAATTTTTTTCCCATAGGCCCAAAACCTATTGGAATCCGGGACTTAATTAATGAAGCTTTGCGTCGAGAGAGGATGGGTCTGCAGTCCAAAGTGAAAGAGATAAAAGCACTTTTATTAAAGCCTGAGATTCAGGCCAAAATCAGGAGGGAGCTCTTTGAAGGAAGATTCATTAACAACAGTAATCAAGGAAACGATGTGGATTTCAGCACAACTTTAACATAAACTCTTCCATAGTACTAGAGTTTATGAAATCTTTTCAGCTCATTAAGTAGCTCTTTGGTGAATACCAAAGAAGTGTTCTGATAGTTTGCACAATAGCAAACCAACATTTGGTAAGGAATGAACAATTTCTTTCCAAAGAAAACTGAATTCTGCACTGTTATTTTTAAGCTAAACTTGTGTTTTAGAATGTTTATCTCTGTAATATCAAGATTCATTTTATAGAAGAGACTTCTTAATTTAGCTGTAGTGAGATGTTCCTTGAGTCCTCACAGATAAAATATACAGACTGTGAAAAATCATTTACTAAAAAAAACAAAATAAAGCCCATTATTTTAAGGGTCATTTGTTTCCTGTTGATATGACTTGGGTTGTTGTTCAGTCAAAAGAAGCATTGTTCACATGTATCTATATCTAGTGTTACTTTTAATGAGACTTTGAATGTTTATTGATCACTAGTACTTGAATGAACATTTATAAATGTAATTATTGCAGTCACTGGTTAAGAATGTTTTATAATTTCATATGTATTATTTTTCAATGATTGAAATATAGTTTGCTTTTTCATTTCTTACTGAATGTTTGGGGTTTTTATTTTCTACTTTTCTGAAGATAAGCTAGCCCATGTCTTATTGTATCCCTTATAATCTGAATTTGCTTGCACTGGTTCATTTTTAAAGAATATTCTTTAAAATTTTCCTTCCTGTATGATAATCATTGGTAACAGCTTTTTCTATAATCATTGTAAAATTGCTGCTACTAACAGATCATGATGGAGGGGGAAATTATTAGAGATCAAATATGTAATCATTTCAAAGATAAAATCCAGTTTACTCATGGATTTTTGCTATTTTTTCACTGGGTAAATTATATTACATTTATTTATAAGTGAGTTTATGCATTTTCATGCCTCTTAATAAATGTATTGTTTTCCCTTGTTGTCTTTCTTTATTTTTTTTCTTCTTAGGATCTGAATATAGTGAAGTCAGAAATAGGGACTCTGATGGTTTCAGTGTTTTTTAAAACTATTTTGTATTAGATACAGTTGAATAACAATGTTGTGATAGTTTCGGGTGTACCGTAAAGAAATTCAGTTGTACATATCCATGTGCCTATTCTTTTTCAAATTCTTTTCTCACTTAGGTTGTTATGTAACATTGAGGAGAGTTCCCTGTGCAATGCAGTAGGTCTTTGTTCAGTATTTCTTAACTTTTGTGTTCTTATCCTACTTGCCAAGATAGCAAAGTTGTCAAAGCACCTTTAACCTTAGACTTTTAAATCACTTCAGATCCGTCAGCTTCACAGAGAATATCAACAGAACGTTAAAGGCAAAGAAAATCTCAGTAGCATCTCATAAACTGCGCACAGTGGGTCACTCCAGCAATGTCAGTAGCAGAGATGAAGAGAGCATGTGCATCCAGATGTAGAGACCTGGGTGCTGCTTACCGTGAGCCTCTCTGAGGGTGGAGGTTTTATTGTATGTAGATGACTTCTTGAGTCAACCCTAGAGGTGGGAAGCAAAGATATTTGGGAGCTTGCCTTGTTCTTTAGGAGAGGAAACAGTCATAAAGAGATAAAGTGCTTTATCCAAGGCCACACTGCTGCTAGCAATTGGACCTGTGCTCGGACCTGGGGCACCATCTCAACATCCACTGTTCAATAACCTGTTAATAGTATTTTAGGAAAAACAGCATGCTAAGTTATTAGTATTTAAGAGAAACAGCACGTCTTACAGCATATCTATAGATCTCTTTATCCTCAAGGAGCTACTTCAACACTTCCCAACAATTTGAAAAGCTAAAAAAGTATCCTTTTTGCAATCTGGAGTTACATGACTTACTACACAACTTACTGTTTTTTAAATTAAGCATCATACCTCCTAGGTGTTACATACCTGGCCGCGAGCCAAGTGATTTAGGCACATTATTACATTCTTCCCTTCAGTGACCCTGTTAGGAAGTTACTAGTACTGTTTTACAGATTAGGAAGTTAGAAAAGTAGGGCTCTAAATGGTTAAATGGCTATTTATAAAGCTAATAAAAGGTAGGGCTCAATCTAGACTTGGGTCTATTCTACTTCAAAGCCACGCTGTTTCCACAACGCCGCAGTTCCTCTCTCCACTGAGTACAAGTCATTTCGTAAGTTAAGAATGTGGAACAAAGGGAAGTCATTTTCTTTTGACTAAATCATCTCCCTTGCAGCCGTGAAGTTCTGTGAACGTAGGAGAGTGGTCAGCTGATGTGATGAAACTGGAGGGGAAAAAACCCAGGTATTTAGTTTAGGGATTAAAGATTATAATAATATAATACTACTAGTGAATCTTTCATTTAATCAGCGTTACAAAGACAATGAAAAGTGTACAATAAAATAAATCTTGTTTCCATTAAAAAATATCTAAGTATGACATTAATTTGCAAAAATTAAAGTTCGTGATGGGAAATACTCAAAATGACTTTTTCCCCATTTAGTCAGAACTGGAGAAGAATCATCTGTGAGTGTGTTGTCCTCGATTGGTGTAGTATGTTACGTAGCCTTGTCTTCTGACAAGGGGGCTGCGTGGTTGGTGAAAGCGTGTCAGTTTGCCCAGGAGGCAGACTGTGGTCTCTAGACCTGTATCGCACCAAAGGTGATTCTAAACAAACCAGTTCCCTTTTCTGAATTGAAACAGTTTGGGGCTAGGTGATTTCCAGGGATCCTAGTCTCTTTGTGACTTTATTTTGATGGTATTCATGCTGATGCCATGTCTCAACCAGCTACCCACATGTGAGACCTTCTTGCTTAGGCCATTCAGGTAGATCTGTTGTCAACAAGAGACTGAAATTTCTAGAAGGCTTTGTTAGCGTCATGTAGGCACAAATTTATGACCAGATTCCAACATTTTATGTCACTGGTAAAATAGTAGACCCTATATGAATACTTTTTAAAATGTCAAAAAAAATAATATTTTCAACAGCAGGACAAGATTCTGCTAGCTTTGAACTTGGTCTCATTTATAGCATAGATAGCTGCGACAAACATAGACTGTGTGTTGAAAAGCAGAGACATTACTCTGCCAACAAAGGTCTGTATAGTCAAGGTTATGGTCTTTCCAGTGGTCACATGTGGTTGTGAGAGCTGGATGGTAAAAAAGACAGAGTGCCAAGGAATTGATGCTTTTGAACTGTGGTGCTGGAGAAGACTCCTGAGAGTCCCTTGGACAGCAGGGAGATCGAACCGGTCAATCTTAAAGGAAACCACTGAACACTCATTGGAAGGACTGATGCTGAAGCTGAAGCTTCAGTATTTTGGTCACCTGATGAGAACAGCTGACTCATTGGAAGTCCCTGATGCTGGGAATGATTGAGGGCAGAAGGAGAAGAGGGCATCAGAGGATGAGCTAGCTGGATGGCATCACCGATGCAATGGACATGAACTTGGGCAAACTCTGGGAGATAGTGAGGGGCAGGGAGAACTGGGGTGTTGCAGTCCATGAGGTCACAGAGTCAGACACAACTGGGCGACTGAACAATAGCAAGAGTAGCATCTTAGATGATTGTTGTATTACGCTACTTTTCATTCTAAACTTCAGACCTTTGAAATATACTAGTTATAGCTAGAGCAGACTTAAGATTCAAACTATTCCCTCTAAAACCCCAATGTGCTTCTGTGTGTCATCTCAGCAGCCAGATGTTCCCATAAGGAGATAATTAAAACAGTTTTGATTTTATATTCTAGATGTCCCTTCAGACATAAGACTAACACAATATGTTTGCACCTCTATAGTTGATCACCAATTCATAAACCAGTTACCATGTTATACAACAAATTAAAAATTTATTTCATTATATGCTCAAAACAAACCTACAATATCTCCAAACCTAGTATCAGTTTTATCTTAAAACAAATTGTGGATGCATTCCTGAATTCCAACTTTTCCAGGTATTCATATAAAAAAGAAAGAAACCCAGTGTACTTTAAAAAATAGTTTATAAGTCCTTACGTGAATTTGATGGCAGTACACATTCTTAATAAGACAGACCCCTAGATTATTCATACACAGTAAAAATGAATATTAGAGCAACTCACTCTTCAGTCAGTGAATTTAAAATTCACAACAGTTCTTTCCTGGAACACTATTTTGAGGATAAGAAAGCTTGTTTATAAGGTAATTTGAGAGCCGAAGGAAGGTAGTGCTATTATCATCTCTTGTGTAATGTCCTCAAAGCTACTTATTTGCAGTCATTAAATGTAACTGATAAATTCAGGCAATTTGGAATGATTTTAAAATGTAAACTGCAATACACATTGAAAGGTTATGAAGTTCTATTAAAGCATCAAAGACAGATACACTGAAACTGAGAAATTGATTCATTGTTTTTGGGAAACATACGTTGCTTCCCCTTTAGTGGTTCAAATGATTTCTGAAAGCCCACTCTTCTAAGACACTGCCCTGTATATCTATATGTAAAATTCTTTGATCCATCTTTGTTTGCAGTCTCGTCCATTTAAGCTGCTTCACTGTATGGCATGCTTGTTCTTAGGTAACTATATAGTAAATGGGTGCAACATTTCCAATTACTCCCCACGCTTCCTGCCAAAAACCACATGAGCACAAAATCACCATGGTTATGTCTTTGAACCAAAGAACACTTCTTTTTTTTTTGGCCTTTTTTAACCACAAATATATTATCTTGCCCCATATTTAAGTTTTTTGGTAAATGCTCACATAATATATCTAAAGATGAAGGTGAGAGGACAAAAAAACAAAGAGACTTACAGTTGGATAGGAATTACAGTGCTGAGGAAAGAAACAGAAGTGATATGTACACACCAATCCAAGAATTATCTGATATGCTGATTGAGGTAGGGAAAGCAGAATGCATATGCAGCAGTGGGAGAGACTAAGTATATCTTTTTAAGATTCTGGAAGGCAGTTTTGGAGGTTACTTTTATCAGGTCCAAGCTTGGGAAATGTCTTCCTAGAAGAGGATGTGATGAGGGCTTTTGATGGTTTTGTGGGCATT